AGGGAAATGCCACTGCCTGCCTCATGAGATTGTTCTGGAAAAGAGATAGTTCTGGAAAACAGAGACTGTGTTCAGTTAGGTCAGGGTGGGGCATACGGTAAGTGCTCAGTGGGCGGCTGCCACAGTGTGTGGTGTCCTCTTGCTGTCAAAAAAGGGACAGCTCATGTTTTGTTTAGAAGCTAAATGTTGATGCCTCAAAAGAGACTTGGAGGTTCAACCCAATCAGATCCTTGCCCAGTCGGGACTCAAGAGCCCTTGGCTAAAGTGCATGCTTGTAGCAGTGACTGCCCGCTCTCAGTTTAAAATTACACTATCTTCTGGCCAGCTGCCAGGCATAAAACCTTGTCTCTAACCTTCCACACGGCCTGCTAAACAAAAGCAGCCAGATCAGGTTCTTCTGGTTGGGTTCCCTTTCTCGCCAGCTGTCAGCTTTTTTAAAAAGAAACTACACCAGCAAGATGGGCGTGTGCCCAACATGCTCCAGTCAGGCTGTGCTCATGTGTGTACTCTGGCAGGTTGTGTCCATGGGTGAGCAGTGTCTTACATCGACTTGTCCCTCCTGCTACATAAAACCCTCCTTGGAGAGAAAGGAGACAACACAGCAAGAGGTGAAAATGGAGGAAGTTATGAAAATCCAAGGTGAAGCAGAGATCAAAATGAGCACCATAGACCAAAGCCTAGAAAATTGAGGACATGGCAGAGAAGGGGACATTTTGTGGAAAAGATCCTTTCCTCAACTAGGTGTTTAGGTTTCTTGGAGGGATCTAGTTTTACCTTGAAGATTGCTAGTTAGTAAGTCCAGTTAAAACGAGGGGGTTACCATGAGACCATTGCTAACTTAAATTTGTCCATCCAATAAATAAAAATTGTCTTCATCATTACATAACACAAAGGGTAGATAGATAGATACATAGATAGATAGATAGATATCTACACACACACACACACACACACACACACACACACACACACACACACATACACAAAATCATAGGTGAAAAAGCTTTCAGATGAAGTTTTTTCTGCAGAACTGGTGTGTGTCCTCATTCCTGAAAACACTACCCAGTTGACCACACACTGTTGGTTTGGTGGCAGGAATTACAGAGCTGCTAATAACACTACTATAATAATAACAGCAAGACTTGCAATATCAAGATCCACTTCCTGAGAACTCTTATTTTATGCGTCCCATTTAATTCTCCCCCTAAGCCTGTAAAAAGTTATTACTGCCCCATTTCAGAGACAAAGGACTCAAGGCCCAGAGAGGTTAAATAGCTTGTCCAAAGCCAAGTGGCAGAGCTGGAGTCACACCTATGCCCAAATGCATATGATTCCACTGGCATGCTGTGTTGACTCTTGACAATTTTAACTTGAAAGTCCTGTTTCAGCTGTAAGAAAGAACAAAATCCTGTCCTTTGCAGCAACATGGATGCAGGTGGAGGCCAGCATTCTGAGTGAATTACCACAGAACCAGAAAACACCACCATATGTTCTCACTTATAAGTGGGAGCACACACGGGCATAAGGATGGGAACAACAGAAACTTGGGACTCTGTCTACAGGGGAGGGCAAAGGGAGGGGGCAAGGGTTGAAAAACTGCCCACTGGATACCATGCCAACCACGTGGGTGACGGGCTCAATAGAAACTCAAACCTCATCATCACACAATATGCCCACTCAACTAACATGCACTTGTACCCCTTGAAACTGAAATAAAAATAAAAACAATAAAAGGAAAGTGCTGTTTTAAAGTTCACACCTAATCTGATTCTCCTGAGCATTAAAAATAAACAAACAAAAAACCCCACTCTTTCATTGTGCAGTCACCTTCTTATGAATGTATTTTAAAATAATCTGGTTCCTGTTAACTGGCTTAGTATTGGCCTTGGGCTGCCAGCTGCTGAAAGGGGTGACAGGTAAGGAGGGCCCATTACATGATTCTACTTTTGAATGTCTTGAATTTTCCATAATAAAAAGTTGTTTGGTGTTTTTAATGGGCTCTTTGGAAAGTTGGATGAAGTAAGATGACAATAATTGGTGAAGTGAGATTTCAGGTCTCTGCAGATATCACTGAATGGCAATGTCCCTAATGGCCTCCTACTAATAAGCAGCTCCAGCGTGAGTCCCTCAGAGCTCGGGGTAGCCTCACCACACACGCTGCAGCCTACAGCCTGGCGTCAATCACTTTTACAAGGGTAGGACTGGCTGTTCAGAGAAACTTTCCGACACAGAAAGAATTTTCCCAGCCTCCACCCATCCAGGAAGCTCATCTTCTCAGGTGTGGCAGGTGTCCCAGGAGATGGTGAAAGTGCTGCCGTGTGGGATGTATGAGTGGTCCACGTTTTCTCCTCTCCTCACTGTGAGTCCTTCAGCGAGATTTTTGATAGATCTGGTAAACATTCCTCCAAATTTCCAGAAAAAAAAAAAAACCTACATCCAGGCAAACATTTCATTTCTTACAGGTCCCTCTTTTAATGATCAACAGCTTTGATGATCTCAACCTCTCTAATTTTATTTTTTGGCTATTTTATCCACTGAGACATTTCTTGTTACCAAGAAGAAATAAAAGGTTATGAAAAAAAGGGGGGTGAACAGGTCATACTCACATGCTTTCCTGCTTTTACCTATCACTCCCATAAGACAAACAGCCAGGCCATGTACTGTACTCCTCCCTTTCCTAAAGGAAGGGCCAGGCGGCGAGGGGGTAGCTGACCCAGAGCTACATAACTCTCCTCCCTAGAAAAAAGGAAAAGCTGTCCTTTCACATAATTAAGGTTTTCTTATAGCCACAAGAGGGGCCTTTTTGAAATGGGCTTGGTGTGTTCTCCTCTTAGAACTGTTTGGTTGGTGACACTTGCATTGTGAAGCTTATGTTTGGTTCCAGCACCCGGAAGTTGAAGAGCATTACAATGTCACCAGTATAAATGATCAAGATGAAAGTGATGCTCCCTTCTACAAGGAAGGGGATGGTAAATACATAAAATCCCAAAACTTAAGACAGAAGTTAAATCAAACAGAACAGGTAAATGTAAACTAAAGGAGACAGGCTGAAGGAAACAAGGAACTAGGTACATAAAATTTCTTAGAAAAACTTAGGCATCCATACACCATTCTGTCCACTTCTAGTCCACTAGAGCCATGATAAACTTAGTAGCCAAGGGTGGGCTTTATACAAAAACAAAAAACACATAAAACACGTAAGTTCTATTTGTTTCTCAGTGCCAATACAGCTCTCATTAGAGAAAACCAATTTGGGCTGGGTGCAATGGCTCATGCCTGTAATCCCAACACTTTGGGAGGTGGAGACGAGAGGATTGTCTGAGCCCAGGAGTTCAAGACCAGCCTGGGCAACTTGGCAAAACTTCATCTTTACAATACATAAAAAAAATTAGCAGGACATGGTGGTGCACACCTGTGAGTCCAGCTTCTTGGAAGGCTGAGTCGGAAGGCTGCCTGAGCCCAGAAGGTTGAGGCTTCAGTAGCTGAGATTGTGTGACTGCACTCCAGCCTGGGTGACAGAGTAAGACTCTTGACTCCAAAACAAAAATCAGGCCGGGCTTGGTGGCTCAGCCTGTAATCCCAGCATTTTGGGAGGCCGAGGCAAGAGGATTGCCTGAGCCCGCGGGTTTGAGACCAGCCCGGGCAACTTGGCAAGACCTCATCTCTACAATAAATAAAAAAAATTAGTCGGGTGTGGTGGCACGTGACTGTAGTTCCAGTTACTTGGAAGGCTGAGGCAGAAGTTTCGCCTGAGCCCACAGGTCGAGGCTGCAGTGGCTGTGATTGTGCCACTGCACTCCAGCCTGGGTGACAGGGTGAGACTCCGACTCAAAAAAAAAAAAAATCAAAACAAAAAGACCCACCAATTCGCTTATATGCCATGAACTTATGAGTTGGTGGCATAATCTTTATAGGCTCAAAACAAAGAATGCCAAAATCTTAGAAAGGAGAAAATGGTTACCCCCAGATTAGGGAGCAGGGTATAAAACTACTTATGGGCTTCGCTGCTTTCAGCTCCCTAAGTAGCATAAAGGAGGTGAACAAAAAAACAAAACTGGAATTATCTTGGAGGGCATGCCCCTTGTACACTTAGAATTTCTTCCTCTGGATCAAAGGGTCAACCAAAGTTTTCAACTGGAAGTTTTGAGAAGGTTGTATCATTATTTGCAGAAGGAACATCCCAAGTTGTGGCAAACAGGTGACTGGTTCTTCCACCATGACAATACACCTGCCCACACCACACTGAGTGTTCAGCAGTTTTTGACAAAAAAACGGCATGACCTCCTCATGCCCCACCCTCCCTACTCACCGGATCTGGATCCAAGTGACTTTTTTGTTGTTTCCTTGGATGAAAAAGGTCCTCAAAGGGAAATATTTTGCCAATGTGGAAAAGGTGGAACAAAAAACAGCAGAAGCACTAAAAGGCCTCAAAAGTGACAGAGCTGGAAAACTGTTTTGAGCAGCAGAAAAAGTGTCGATGGGTGGATTGCATCAAAGAGTACTTTGAAACTGACTGAAGCTTAAACATGTAAGAATAAATACACAATTTTTTAAGTAAATAAATTCTGAGTTTTTTGGGTTGTCCCTTATACACAGACATACAACCTAAAATGCTAAGTGAGCCCAATGTGTAAATATATAGAAATAAAAGAAGGTATCATTATTTGGTTGGTTGAAAACAGGTTTCTAAGGAGTCCAGTTGGCCAGAAAACCACAACCCGAAATTACAAGCTGAAGCTAAAGGCAGTGTGCTAGGTTCTACCCTTTGTCAATGCAAGTCTATAGGAGGTTACTCAAAACTACCAGCAATTTAGATACTTTATGGACCGAAGCACACTATCAAAGAATTTGGTTATCTGCCATCATTCGAACATACAAAATAATAATTAATTTTAAAAAGTTGTATGGCCAATGTCCAGGGTAAGTTTATTTTACAGAGAGAAAAAAAAAACAACAAAAAAAACCATGATTTTCCTAGACACCATATAGTGACTGGCAAGTTTCATTTCTCTTTTATCACAGCATACCCCCCAAAAAAGAACCAAAGAAAAAAACCCGCAGAAACACACCAAAACATACCCCATTACCCCCTTAAATTAGCAAACTTAAAATTAAATCTTGAAGAAGTATTTTGTTATAATTTGATTCAAATTCTATTTACAAATTATATTGCACTTATAAAAATAGCAACATTTCTATTTTGATAGTAGTTTATTTTGCTTTATTGTGGTTTCATATCTGGATATAAAAACTTTAAAGCTTTCTTGAATTAAAAATCATACTTCCTTTTGCAGTACATAATTTATTTACCCACTGAATTTCTGAATCAGGCTTTTCTTTTTGTGCTTTTCTACAGTATTTTATTTTACAAAGGGTATACACCTTCGGAATAGGGACAGTTGAACACTGGACTCACAAGAGATTCATTCAGGAAAAGTTAAAGTGTAAGAAATGAAATATTAGTAGTCTAATCCTTTGGTTCAACATTTTTTTTAAAAAAATCAACTGATGTAATTTATAAATTGTTGGTAATTCATCTTTTTGGTTAAAAACAAATCCACCATGTAGATTACTGATTAAAATACAACACTGCTTTCAAAGTACCACATTCCTGGTCTCATTTCACCGCCCAAGGATGCTACCATTTACAACTGGTTGGACGTGATGACACAGGATACAGTAAGGCACAAGTGGATGGTACAAATCGAAACAAATACTTAAGGACTTGTTTTTCTGCACAAATACTAAAATATGTACCGTTTTCAAGATAAAATAACACAAAAGAAATACATTTTTAATGAAACCTATACAAAGTTTTTAAATTTACACCATCTGAGCTGCCAAAAAAGATTTTTTAAAGTATCCATTTTTCCCCATACATAAAATTCTCTCTCATCAGTAGGCCCAAGAGAACTTGGGTTCAAATGTCCCAGCACTTTGTAGAAGGGAGGAGGACAAACATTCCCCTTCCTGCTCTCCCTTACCCCAACATAAGACAAAAACAAAGGTCCGATGTTTACAGTAGTGTATTCTACATGGTACAAACAACTGCAATTAAAAAAAGAAATCATGCCGGGAGACCATGGGTGTGAGTGAGAGTAAGGCACTTCCTGGGAGAGAGCAGCGTCCCACACTCCACAGGAGATGATGCACAGGTGCTGGTCACACAAGGGTCACAGGGGCTCCTCAGAAGCAGACAGGAACGTCTCGACAGCAGAGGAAGACACGGGAGGTAAAACTCGAGGCGCACTTCTACACAGATGTGGTCACTCGGTCAAGAGTGTGATTAAGCTCGTTTTTGTTGGAATCCAGTCCTTTAGCAGCATTCATGTCATTCCGTAAATTTTCCACTGTCTTTTTCATGCTCCTTAACTCCCCTGGGTGTGGGGTGGCTCGTCTTAGAAGTGTCCTCTAAAAGCAAACAGTAGAGTGAATGTTTTGCATTTACTCCATGACTTTTTCAAAACCTGCGGCTTCAAGGCATTAGCATTCCAACATAGACCTTACCTTCTTGGAAATTACAAGGGAGAGTGGGGAAAAGAGCTTTCCTGTGCATTTATCAACTGCTCACGGGCACTGAATGGAAGATAAAAGTGTTTTCTATGACTTATCTAATCACAATGGGATGGTTACTTTTAGAACAAAATACATTCTAAAATATGAGATTAGTGTGAAATAAAAATAAACTTCCAAAATAGTAAGAACGTTTTTTAAATTTAAAATTTGATTATAGGGTATGGAGAAAGAAAAAGATAAAGGAGTAAATAATAAATCCTAAATAGAAGTCATTATAAGATTTTATTATTACTCAAAGTGACTAGAGCTCCCTTCAATCCTTGAAACACGAGAGCTGAAGAAAGAGACAGCAGGAGAGAAGGATTTCCTTTCTCATTTTGCTGCTGGGTATGCTGTTTATATGGCTACTTATGAATACTCACATTCTTCTAAGAAAGACCAGAGTGTTGGAAGTTAAGTCACAGGGTATAGGCAATTTAAAAAATATTGTCTTATTTAATATGGTACATGATCTTAGCTTATAAAACAGTATTTACATCTTTCAAATGCCCTACCCAGGAGCTTCAGGAAGAATCAAACTAGGTTATCAAAATGCTGGAAGAGAAATATTGAGACAAGGAAGTAACTGGTGAAATAATCACACTCTAGCAAGTCTTAAGGTCAGCAGTGAAAAGTTATATATGTTGAAGTTATTTTGTCATCCCTAATTTCCATTCTGTACTCTCCTACCATAAATGCTTAAAATTCCATTTGGTGACAGCTAAAATAACAAAGACTTACAGGCAATAACTTGAAACCGCCCTTTGTTTGGGGGGCTGAAAGTATTCCCTCTAACTCTGCTTGTGAAAATCTCAATTAGTGCAAGGAATTTAAAAGCCCAATTCAACTCGTAGGAAGATGTCAAGAATTATTATCAACTCCTAGAGATGCTGGATACCTGACAGACATTTTCAAGTATGAAAGCGAGTAAGGGTGGTTGGTACTTTCGAATCTATTCCTGATTCCTGAATGAAAATCTGTTGAGGTAACCCAACTAAAATCACAACGCTCCACAGGAAGGTTCCAGTAACCTGGTTCCAAAATAAAGAGGGGGATGTCTGGCACTAAGTCACCTCATGGCAAGTGAATGGAGTCCATGCAGCAAAGCCATAAGTGGGGTGAAGAGTGGGAGGAGACCTCCACCACTGGGAAACAACAGAAAGAATCCCCAATCAAAAGAAGACATACGAGCAGCCAACAGATACATGAGAAAAAGTTCAGCCTCACTAGTCATCAAGGAGATGCAGATTAAAACTACACTGAGATACCACCTAACTCCAGTCAGAATGGCCATCATCAATAACTCAAAAAATAACAGATGCTGGAGAGGATGTGGCGAAATGGAAACACTTCTACACTGTTGGTGGGAGTGTAAACTAGTACAGCCTCTGTGGAAAACAGTGTGGCAATTCCTAAAAGTTCTAAAAATCGACCTTCCATATGACCCCGCAATCCCCCTACTAGGAATATACCCAGAAGAACACAAATCACTCTATAAAAAAGATACCTGCACACGTATGTTTATCGTAGCATTGTTCACAATAGCAAGAACATGGAACCAACCATGCTGCCCATCAAAAGAGGACTGGATTAAAAAAATGTGGTACATATACACAATGGAATATTACGCAGCCATAAAGAACTTCGCAGCAACCTGGAAGGAATTAGAGCCTATAATACTGAATGATCTTTCACAGAAACAAAGAACCGACTGTCACATGTTCTCACTCATAAGTGGACCTTGAATAACTATGGTAATACTATAAGAAAAGGATTGACAGTGGCGGGAAACTGCAGGGGGCGGGGCAGGGAGGTGAGATTGACAGTAGTGGAAATCTGCCTGGGGAAGGGGAGCCATACCTCATCAACAAGGCTACCTGCACAATGAATATTTATACCTCACAATTTTAAAATAAAAAAAAGTTAAAAGTTAAAAAAAAAAGAAAACGGTGGGAGTGGGAGGGGAAACTATCACAAAGAAAAAGCACCATAAATTATTCAAACAAACAAAACCAACAAAAGTTCCATGTGCCTTATTTAACTTTTGTGACCTAGTACCAAGAAGAACCTAGTTTTGTCTTCTAAAAAAGTTCCTAAATGCTGAAGATAAAACAGAGAGCACAATATTTGAAAATAAAATCCTTTTTATAGGCCATTCTCAATCTTTGACTTTTCAACATCCAGAGAGGCAAGGAGTCTCCATTTCCATACCATTTCATTGTCGTCTTCATCTTTTTCATCTTCCAAAAACCGAATGGCACTGACTCTGTGGACTGCACGCTCATTCCAGGCTTCATCAGCGACATCACTGACCAAGCTCTCCAGCGCGCCACAGCGAGACAGATTCTCTGCAGAGAAAAGGGCACGTCAACAGGGAGTGATGGTTCACGTGACCGGCAGCTGCTAAGCAGTAACTTCAAGGCCAACTGGGCAGAATCCATGGGAGCAGAATCCATATGGAGTCTAACTCCAGAAATAAGGGGAAAGAATCCATATGGGGCATAACTCCAGAAATAAGGGGGCAGAATCTCTATGAAAACCCAAGGATATAACACAAGAAATAAGGGAGGCAAACCCTTGTCTTAATCTCGAAGTCTTGGCTTTAAAAAACAACAAAAATCATCAAAAAGAAAAAGGCCTGGGACAGAGTTGTCCCTTCTTTTTTTCATAATATACAATTATATTTGAAATCATATAAAATACCTGCTAAGTTAATGATTTCCTATTTCGTTACAGAATGTCATAATAATTAGGAGTCCCTTTTCCATAATCCTCTTTTAATAACTGCAAACATTTTCTGACAGTGATGTGGCCCCACGTGTTGGACACCAGTGCTCTCCTCAGTAACATATTCTACTGCAGTTTTCTCCTAGGGTCTTAAGAGCTCTTCTAATGCGGCTGGGACTGACGTGCAAGGTGGCTTTGGGACCTCCCATTTGGACCACCATTCGCCCCAGGGCATTCCAGTTCTGCTCTGTCAAACTCAATTCTCAGCAAAGGAATTATAATAGCATTTGATGTTAGTGTGACTATTTAAAAAACATACACAAAATTTACATAGTAAAGATACAATGACTCAAAATAATTCACTGGCTCAAAAAAAATTATGCCAATAGTGTTAACTGTGAATCCTCCAAACTATCAGCTTGGATTTTAAGACACTTGGTTAACTTTTTTTTAGAAGTACTGTATTTTCAGCCTTAGCTATAATTCAGAACTAAAATGCTGGTTACAGAATTTCAGACATGCCTTTTTTTTTGCTGCAAGGATGTAGGGGAACTTTTCCAGAGGAGTTTCACAAAGGCCTCACCTGAGCTGGCTTGAGGTGCAAATCAAACAAAACACACTCATATATGGAAGAAAGAGGAATTATGTTTGAATACAAGGGAAAACTCCAAAAAACTGGAATAAACTGGAATTATTTTTTGGAGGGCAGGTCCCTTGTAGTATAGACTCCCTCCACTAGGTGTTACGGGAATCCATCAGCATCAGTATACCAGCTAATGTTGTTGTAAGAGGCTGTGTTCAACTTCTGTGAATGTTGTTTTTTTTTTTTTTTAAGTTGGAGTCTCACTCTGTAGCTCAGGCTGGAGTGCAGTGGCATGCTCACGGCCACTCCAGTGTCTACCTGCTGGGCTCGGGAGATCCTTTCATCTCAGCCTTCCAAGTAGCCAGAACTACAGGCGCGCACTACGGCACCCGGCTAATTTTTTATTTATTGTAGAGATGAGGTCTCACCAAGTTGCCCAGGCTGGTCTTGAGCCTGCAGGCTCAGGCAATCCACTAACCTCGGCCTCCCAAAGTGCTGGGATTATAGGCTGAGGCACTGAGCCTGGCCTATTGTGACTTTTTTTGTGGAGATTCTTTCAGTGAGTTTGCCCATTTCATGACGGGTTATTTACAGGAACAACCTGCCCACACCATACTGATTGTTCAGTGTGTTTTTTGTTGTTGTTTTTTTTTTTTACCAAAAACAGCATGATCCCTGTGCCACACCCTCCCTATACATTCGATCTTGCCCAAGTGAACATATATTTATATATATATAAATTATATTATATATATATTATATATATATATACACAAAAATATATATATATATATATATTTTGTTTGTTTGTTTGTTTGTTTGTTTGTTTGTTTGGGGTATCCCTGGATGAAAAAGTCCTCAAAGGGAAACATTTTGCCAATGTGGAAGAGGTGAAACAGAAAACAGCAGAAGCACTAAAAGGCATAAAAATGGACAAGTTCAAGAACCGTTCTGAGCAGTGGAAAAAGTGTCTCAATAGGTGCACTGCATCAAACAGAATACTTTGAAGGTGACTGAAGTTCAAACATGTAAGAATGAATATATAATTTTTTATAAATAAATTACTTTGTTGAGGAGTGCCTTTCTTGTATTAGCTCCTACTCATTCTTGTGGCCATGTGAATATTGACCTTAAATTAAATTCACCTTGGCATGTGGGTTCAGAAGGCAGCTGAGGAAGTAAGACACAGGTTAAAATCTTCTCTCCTGTGCTGTGATCTGTGTCTGTCTGGAACGTCAGCAGAGGCTGCGACTGGTTGTCAGACAACCACAGTGCCTTTAACTTCAAGGCAGTCAGGGACAAAGGCAGGTGCAGCAACCTAATTTGAAACAAAAGGAGACATCGCAACCTCAATTTTTGTAATTAATTCAATTTCTGTCAATAAAAAACAGGATAAAAAATTAGAAGACAATTCCTGAGATTTGATTCAAACTGAAGAAGAGGTGATGTCCATAAGAAGACACTTGGCACACTCTGTGCAAGTAGACTCTAGCAGGATCCTGAGTTTACCTTTTCTGCTATCACCTCTCTTCTCAGAACTTCCAGGCCACAGGGCCAAAGACATGTGTGATTTCAGGACACATTATTAGATCTTGTACTAGGCTTCAATTTGAAGGTGAGAAAAAGTCAGCATAATTGTGGAAGGACCCAGAAGCAGGACTTCTTACTGCCTCCAAAGGCAGCAGTCTTGCTGATAGGGCTGGTGTGAGGTGGGGGTGACCTGTCTCCAGGAACACCTGGCAAATTAGGTTGGGAGGAAGGAGTTGGCTGGAATGCCAAAGAGTCTAAGTTGCAGTTGAAATAAAGATTAAAAACGATTTTGCATGGATTTCATTTGCTTTCTCTGGGGAGATTATTTCAGGTATCCCATTTTAAATGTGTATATTTTTGTTTCTAGAAGCTCCCACTTCTCAGACTCCTACGTGATAACTAATATCCACATCAGATTGTTTCTGTTTCCAATGAGGTAGTACTTCTGAAAGTATTTTAAACATTGTAATGTGACATTCAAGATTTGTCTTATATTTACGTTTGAGCAAAGATTTGACAGACTGTCTACCACCAGTAAAGTCTATTTAGTAAAGACCACTCCCAGAAATCACATGTATACCTAGCTCCAGTTAACACATGTGGGAAATCTACTCAGACATCTTACCAACAGATTAATATTGAATTATCATGTATATGTATAATATATACATATATATACACACACACACCATTTGAATTGACAGAACTATGTACAGATATGAAAACAAGTTGCATTCCAATAATGTAAAACTAACCAGGGTAAAATTAGGACTAAACTGGTTACTTTAATAAATGAAGTAAAAAAAATATATATCAAGAAGTACATAGCGAATACTAACAACAAATGCATTATTATTTTTTTTTTTGAGTTGGAGTCTCACACTGTCGCCCAGACTGTAGAGCAGTGGCACGCTCCCAGCCACCACAGCCTCAACCTGCTGGGCTCTGGCGATCCTTTCGCCTCAGCCTTCCAAGTAGCTGGAACTACAGGTGTGCACTACCAGGCCCGGCTAATTTTTGATTTATTGTAGAGATGAGGTCTCGCCAAGTTGCCCAGGCGGGTCTCGAACTCACGGGCTCAGGCAATTCACTCACTTCGGCCTCCCAAAGTACGGGATTACAGGCTGAGCCACCAAGCCTGGCTAACAAATGCATTATTAACGAACTTTTCACAATAATGGTATGTTTTGCAAAATATTTCTAATGTATTAGTTACAAAGATGGGAAAATATTTTCTTTTCCTTAACAGTTGAAAGCTGTTAGAGAAGGCTGGTCTGGCCACATATGTGTAGTGGATGGAGTACTGAGAAGAGCTGTGAGCTTGTAATTTATGTGGGAATGAGGTTCTAAAGCTGATGCCTCTATAGGAACTACATACGTTAAAGTAGCATTGAAAAGACTCTGTGTATTGTTCACTACTGTATTTCACTAAAGAGAGTCACACTGGATGAGAAAGATGTATTTTTAAGTCCTAGAATCCACCCAGTGCCGTGATATGCTCAGACCAAAAGAAGGACGCTTCAGGGAGTTGGAGGGACAGCAGGGTCACAGCTCTATCTCTCCTCACGGTCAGGTATTTGTTCTTCAAGAGAATCTAGAGTGAAATCTCGAATGCTTACACAAAAATGATTTCTCCCTCTACCCAAAGGCTGTTGCACGCATGTACACTCAAATGTAAGAAAGTTAATGGCATGTATTTGCCAGGCACTGTGACGGGAACTTTTAAAAATACACTGTGAAAGCTTAAAGCACATCAAACTCTTTTATTCTACTGAAGAAAAGGATAATTTCTCTTGAATTTGTTTCCTATTTCCTTTAAAAAAGGACCTAAGCTAGTATGTTTAGAGTTTTAAGTCTTGGGTATGAAACTCGGTCAGCATCTCTACCTTTCCTAATCATGAGAGCACAGAGATAAAAAATCAAGACTTGAGAACTGGAACAATACACAGATACTCAAACACGGTCATCAAAACTTCTCAGACTAATAACTGGCTTCCTGGCTGAATGTCAAGCAAAGGCATAAATAAAAGGCTAAAAAGAGCTTCAGTGAAAAATAACAGCTTCTAAGGATTTTTATACCTTATGACAAAAGCTGAAATAAATTACTAGACTCTATGACAAATCTTACAATCATATTTCAACTCAGATGAACAAGTGGCCTAAAACCCCAGTTTTCCTGCAAAGAATCCAAGTTTTGGCCTGAATATAGAGCTGCCCACTGTCTTGTAGACAGAAGTACTAGCAGTGGTGTCGAGGAGAAAAAAAGGCCCTGTTCCAGTCTGTCCAGTCTGCACACAGAGATGCTACAGGCTGGGCCGACTCTCACTGGCTCACTGTGGCCTGGGGAGAAAAAGACATACATGGCAAGCCATCACAGCTACAAGTCAGAAAATAGAAAAAAAAAAAAAAAAAACCCAACACATTCCTGCTTTCCAGAGGAGTTAATAATACATTTTTGGTTTATTCTGGTACCTTCTGTATACTACGGAATAAGAATCAACACAAGAAACCACAGACTCATGTATATACAACTCTGTGTTCTATTTAGGACCACATCCCTCTAGAAATAAAAACCTGTGGTTACTATTCACACCAAAGGTACGAGGATGAAAGCAAATGAATAACCAAACCATGAACCTCTTGTCTCTAGTTATATCTATGGCCAACCCAGCCCCAAGTGACCCTCCATGCCTCTGAACTACTACAGCAACTACTTTGTCAAATTTATGTAACACTTACACGTGGCCTGATGATTAGTGTACATTAGCTAAATCTATGATTGAAGACTTCTTACAATGTAATGTTTCACCTGCCTGTTACCCTCTACTAGAATTTTTCATTTTAAGCAAAGTTTTCCAGAAATATTTTAAAGTACATATAAATTAAGAACACAATCAGTGAAAAAATTTTAACGGTACCAAAATATCTAAAATGAAAGCCCCCTATTCCCTCATGACTCTACTCCTCCTCCAGGGGAACTGCTATGACTATTTTGGTGTAATGCATACGTAAATTTTTGTTTTAGCTTTAGAATCGAGGTCTCACTCTGTTGTCCAGGCTAGAGTGCAGCGGCACCACCATGGCTCATAACAGCCTCGACCTCCTAGGCACAAGTGATTCTCCTGCCTTAGCCTCCCAGTTAGCTGGGAACATAGGTGCTCGCCAACATGCCTGGCTAATTTTTTAGTTTTTAGTTTTGGGGTTTTTTTTGTAGAGACAAGGTCTCCCTTATGTTATCCAGGCTGGTCTCAAACTCCTGAACTCAAGCAATCCTCCCACCTCTCAGGGTGCTGGGATTTCAGGTGTGAGCCACCAAGCCCAGCCTGTTGTTATTTAGGTGGAAAAAAAGTAAAAATGAGAGCACTACATACTTCTCAACACTTGCTGCTGTTTTCACTTGCTGTTTCCTGGGTATCCTTGTACATCACTACATAGAGAAATGACTCATTCTTTGACTGTTGAGTTAGTTTTCCACCATATGACTTTGCTGTTGTGTTGTCTTTTAATGTTTTTAATTCAACTCTTTACATTAGATAATACATATATACACAGTACAAATTCAAAAAATATAAACTATTTCCCAACTGACAGCTATTATGTTTAGTGTTCAGTACTACTACTTTTACTAATATTGACAGCCATTATTTCCAGTATTCAGTACTGCCAATCTTGCAAGTAAGGAAGATTCTCAAATACCTGGATGAGTGTGTTTGGTGGATATTCCTATGGGAGGGTATCTAAGAATCAAAGAATTCTGTGTTCTGTGCCCCTGGGTAACTAATGATACAAGATACCTTCTTCCTTACTGTCATAAAGGGTTTGATACCTCATTTTCAAGTGGCATGTTACAGTAATCCTTGCAATAACTTATCCTATCAAACTTGTAAAAGAAAGTTTCTGGAAACTAACAGTGTGGTCTCCCTGCTGCCATGTGCTATTTTGAAATGCTTGAGAGAAGAGGTAGAAACTTCTATTATATTTGGTATGATTTCCCAGGGTGTGACATTTCTACAAACCAAAGGCTGATAAGGTAGCCATTTATTATTATTATTAGTTTCTATACTGATATTTTAAATAAGTAGTGATTAAATATTTCAATAGGCTTAAAATCTGGTTATGAATCTATATATACAAGGACTAAATGACACACTTAACTAACTCAGATGACAGCAATGTAACTCAACTTTTTAATTGGGTTTTCTCCACCCTACCTCAAGCATAATAAAAATTTAACTTTCTCTTCTTCTGAGAACTGGAGAATGGGGCCTTCTCTCTTGTAAAACATAGTTTTAGATATCAGAGTTATTTTTCTGCTCAAGAATTGAGGCAAATTCATGCTCACTAGTATGGCAAGAATCAGGGAATGTTTAGTCATTGAGTTTCTATTGCTGGGGGTGAAAGGTCAGGAAAGAACTGCCCTCCTAAGCTATAAAGGCTCATGTTACGCTTATTAGTTCAGCAGAAATCCAACATTCAACTCAAATTAATCCTGAGTTTGCAGCAACCAGCTAGTGGTCTTAAGACTCTGTCAAGATGTCCTGAGTGCATTAACTTTTAAAAGGTGAGCATTCCCTGAGGTTATAACTTACCTCTAGATTCCAGCTGAGTATGGCTGTTTATTTAGCACCACTGTCTATTATCCATTAGCAAGCGTGAAAAATGGTGACTCGTGCCTGACCAAAGTGATCAGCTAATCAGTACTTGAGAGACAGTCCCCCAAAACGTCCTCAAGCTGCTGGTCTTTACCATTTACGACCGCTGACATTTCTCCCTGGTTGGACACTTTTCTCCTATCTAACTACATCACACTCCAAAGCAAACGGTAAATTCCTTTGGGCAAAGAAGCCTGTGATGGAAGACATTTTGCTGAGGTCCGCTATTCATCCTGTGAAGCTATTAACATTTTCATTCTATCAACAAATATTTACCAGGTATCTATGATGTGCCAGGCACAAGTGACATGATGGCACATACATCAGAAGATCTGACTTTAAGTAATTTCAAGTCGAGGAGGGTTGCCCACATGTAAAGAGGCAATTATCATATGGCACTGTGAGTGCCACAGCAGGGAAAATTCAGACTCAGAGAGATCTCCTGGAGAAAATAAGGCATGAGTGATAAAAGGAGCCAAGAAGGCAGAGAGGTGGGTCTTAGATGGGAAGAATAGCTAATACAGGTTGAAGGGGAAGAAAAGTGTGTATGCCACTTGGGGAGCTAAAACTAGCTCAGAATGGCTAAGACAAATCAATGTTCTACAAAGATGAAGAAAAGGTTTATTCTGGAAACAGGTGAGCAGTCCAATACAACTTTGGTTCCAAAACCTGAGAAATGCTGCTGCTGTGACCTTAGGGATACTAGTGAGGGACCTTAACTTTTTTTAGATTATGAATCATTAAAAAATTCCAACATCAGCTGTGAAAATGTTGATGAATACAGAGTTTTGTCTGCAATCTCAGGGAGCTGAGAGTCACCAGTAGAGCAAATTGAGGCACCTGGTTAAAGTCAAGTTCAAACTCAACCAAGCCCATTTTGTGGGTAAGGAAACTTTGAGGCCCATGATGGCTTACAAAAGCTACTTTAAAAAGCTAAGGTATGGGCAACCTCCTCAGGTCCCCTCCTGCTGTGGGAGCTTTTCTATCCTCTTAATAAATCCTGCTTTCTAAAACAAAAACAACAATAAGAAAACACTAAGATACAACCTAAGTGTCCCCTTTCTCAGGCCAACTCTCCTTCCCTTATACCACTGTACAGTCATCCGGGAAGCATTCCTACAGATGTGTCTGTCCACTTGCCCTCTAAAGGACCCCATGGTCAGCCTGTCCTGGCCTTCCCTGCTCCATCAGGTCCAAGCATGCTAGCTCCCAGACTAGAAATACCCTGGGACCTGGGTCATTTGACTAATAGGTCTCATTTCCATAAAATGTCACAAAGGCCCAGCCAAGATGGGGGTGTCTGTACATTTGTTTCTCTCAAGCAAAGCAAACCAGAACAGGCTTACCGGTTCCCTGCCACATCTAGGACGTGAAGCTCTGTCGCCTGTGACACTTCTGCAGGTATCCGAGTTAGTCTGTTGTCACGCACGCAAAACACAGTCAGGCTGCAGCATCCACCAATCTGCAATGGAAAAGAAAATACATGTTTCCGGTTTTGGGGGGTAGATGGGGTGGAACCACAGTAACTTGCTTATCACACAGTATGAAACGGATGCATAAACATACACCACATATTTCAAGTCTCACTGATGACCAACAGTGATTAATTGAAGGCATACAAGACAGAGTCCCACAGATTCACAAAAACTTCTGCGAAATGTTATATATACATGTCCTAAATTAAATCAAGGAAATCAGTAATACCGTTCAAAAATGTCATTCTGAAAAGAAAGTCGTTTTCCACTGCTGATATTTAATTCAACTGCATCTGTTAAATATGTTAACCAAACGGTACAAGTCCCGACAAACATTGTTCGGCAATATGGGAGTTTAACAATTCTGGTTTCAAAAATTAGGCCAACAATGATTCTGATAGACACGTATATAACTCAAGACTTACCCATTGTATTTACTTCAGTGTTCCAGTTTATTTTTTAAAACAAGGAATGTTTAGTAGACTATATGGTACATGAATTCCCACCATATATCTTTTAATAGCTTTTGGACATTCATAAATTAATTTGGCAAATCACTTTCCTTTGATGAATGCAACATTAACCATATCTTAGCAAAAAGTGAATTTAGTAAATATATACATTCATTTACTCAGATATGACCTGTTGGTAAAAGCACATAAATCAGATTGGGTGTGTTCAGGGTATGGCTGTAGATGAAGCACATAAATCACCATCTGCATCCACATCCAACTTGACAATCTTTTTTTTTTTTAAGTGAGCAATTGAAAGGTAACTGAGCTTTATATACATCTGGTCTTCAAAAAAACAAACACAAAAGAACTCAATGATTCCCTTGAACAAACTGAATGTGGTTTTTACGGTTAGGAAAGCTGAACCAAGGGGGTGGAAAAATAACTCAATCCCAGACACAACATTCTGCAGGATTCTATAAAACAACTACGTTCTTCTTGTACTCACTGTCCTAAGAGCAATTGCTAGAAAAAGATCATGAAGGAACCTATTGATGTCTCTCTGACACATGGAAAAACACTACTTCAGAGTCTCCCACTTGAGGAAGAGCATGAGACATGAATGGTCAAGGATATCCGAATATATTTATATCTTCTGCCCTTTTCTATTTATATATGTGTTTAATATGTGTCTATAATATCCTAAAAAGCAGAATGCATATAAATGAATGGCTTCATAATTATGTACAATCTTTTTCTTTTCTCCCCTAAGAGTTAATAGATTTTAAAATAATGTACTGAACCATAGTATTTAACCATACTAGATATAAAATAAAAATAAATGTATAAGAAAACATGGACTAACATTTATCTCTGGTCATGTGGAAAGCACCCAGATTGTGTAGAGAAGCTTTTAAATTGTTCCCTTGATTTCTCAGTATTCAAATATTCACATTTCCCATCCCAGCAAAAACGATTTATTCACCATACTCTAAAATACATCTTGTGTCTTTGATCCCACTGTTTCTTAGAGAAACGCCTTTCTTATTTCTGTCTTTTTAAATCTTAACAATCATCCAAAATTAGCTAAACATCCTCTATTCCTCCATAAAGTCTTCCCAAAACCCTCTGGTCCATATGACAAATTGCTCTTTGTATTTATTTTGTAATTATGGTCTAACTGTCTGACAGCAGCACAAAAACCTTGTGAAGATTTCTAAGATCATTTGACTGAGTTGCTGTTTAGCTCACACACGTTTCCACATAACCAAGGTTCCTGGGCATGTTTAGTGCCCCATCCTACCTACCCGCCACACACAGCCTATCTGCCTACCAAATCTCGCATTTAGGTATGCTTATATACTTTATTTATTTACTTACTCATGAAAGATCGTAACCTAAAAGTTATGGGCTTGTATGTGTAGCAATAGAAGCAACAAAACTCTTTTTTGTTCTAAGTAAGAATCACCAGAGTAGCTTCTCTTAGGTTTGTAACTCATAGGGCTCCAATAGAGTGCCTTGGAAGAGATGTGCAGCCAGATCCTTCATGTGGCTTAGTATGTCTTCCCTCCCTCAAGAAAGGGAGACATCAGTTTTACTCCTGGTGCCCAGGAATATCAAGGAAGGAAAGCAATCAAAACCCTGATCCTTTTGAGGACAGACATAATCAGATTCTCTAATAGATTTAGATAATCCCAGCAAGGATCTGCTGGTTAGAAGGAATGCCCAAGGTCCATGTGAGGCCTCCTTCCCCCACACTCACCCATGGGAGGAACTTCTGCAGAGACCTGGGTCAGTGGTGGGGCTGCATGCCATGAGGGAGACCTTCCAGGTCAGCCTTTGGCTGGGGCTGGAGACCCCTCGACCCTGCCATGCTGGCCTAGCTTCAAAGAGACAAGATTTATGTGTGTCCCAAGAAGGTAGAACACATATCAGTTATTCAGATGATCATCCTGACGGGATACTAAGCTCTGCAGGGCATATAGAGCTGAGACTACACTGTGATCCTGGGAATCTTGTCAGAAGCTGTTCACTGCTCTAAGCCACCTGCAAGGTATCTGTTTTGGGGATCTGCTGTATATAGCACGTGAATATTTTCTGCTTGTATCATGTGCATATACTATATAGCAAAAATTAACTAATTAAAGTGGGCCAGAGAGGGCTCTAAAAGCTCTGGACAAGTTAACATCCCTTAAGTATCCAGGGGGAAACAGTGTTTATTTCCAGTGCAGCATGTGAACTGTCTACTGTGTTTATAGTATCTTTTTTTTTTCTTTTTCCTTTCCCACTCTGATCTCACAGCCATTGGAGACTTCAAGGGGTGGAAAGCAATTGTGGACAAGAGCCTCTTAGGTCCTCTGGGTTGTCAAAGCAGGCAGTGTGACCTCCTGATCCCTATTGTCTCTGATTTTGGGAAAACAATGCCAGCAAAGAGCACATGTTGTTGCAGAGTGTGCTGGGCAGGCCTTAATCACTGACAAAGGCACATGCTGTTCCGGGCAAACACTCATACACACAGAGCCCTCTTTCCGAATCAGTTGGGAAGAGATGGCACGAACCTCTGGGTTTCAGAAAAGATTAGGAAGCATCCAAAACTATAACGCAAAAGAGAGTTCATTATGGACGTCAAAAGGGATGTAGTGCGATAGAGGGGTGGATGCTTGGAGATCACACAGACCCAGGTTACAACTCAGGGTCAGTCATGTGCTATGTGAGTTTGGATATGTTACTTTAACAAAAAGTAACAATAAGGATTAAATTAAATGAACCCACATATATACTTTTGCACCCATCACAAAACCTGGTCTATTTTTAGTGCCAAATAAATGTGATAACTAATTTTTTTCCAAGAAGCGAAAACCCCAGATCCCAATGATGAGTAAAATCAACACTTGAGCACCTACTGTATTCTAGGAAATATTGGAAATCTCTTTCCTGAACTCATTTGAGCATCTTAAACAAAACAAAACAAAAAACTATCTCCCTAGCAATACAGCACAGTGACATTTAGCATTAATAACACTGAAGAACTGACATTAACTCAGTATTATATTATAAATACCATTCATGTATATTTTGGGTTCAGGAGGCTGTGTGGACAGGTCCCTTAGTGGTCACCAGGATAAAATGTCTGTATCACTTAGGACTTCTGGGAAGTAGAGTCTGTTTAAGTAACTTATTACCAGTTATGTAGGAAGCTGATTATTTTTAAATTTCCCTTAAACCACATAATAGCACCTTCCCAGAACACAAGGGGTTGAACTTGGATTCTCTGAAAATTACAGAATGTAACTGGGAATCCTTGTTTAGCTGTTTTGTGTCTCTCTTAATTCAAAATGATACTGTTTTTAAACTGTTTGGCATTGATCTAACCCATCTCAAGGAGACAGGACCTGCAGATCATTGAGCAAATCTCTGCCCAACTTTCACTAAGTGTTAATTGCCTGTAGGTTACATCACCCTAGAGGAGATAATCAGACAGATTCAATGATTCAAAGAGAAAGCCTATGTTAGTCACCTTTGTCTGTTTATATCTTGCAAAGGCCTGCTCTAAGTATAAAGGAACTTTCATTTTCCTTCAGTATTTTACTTTCAATATTATTTGTTACAGAATTGAGCCCACATTTCACTGGCAAAAAAGAAAAATGTACAATAAGCAAAATCTGGCCAGAATTTGAACAGAAATAATATGATTCATAATTTTAGAACCCCATCATCATCTGAGGCATATTATTCAAATGTTCCCTATTTCATAAATATTTTGGGAAATCATGTGGTTTTAGGATTCCCTAAATTTCTGAATCACTGACATAAAAATATCCACAAATAGCAATGGCATTCTTTTTCTGATTATAAAAAAGTAATTTACACTGACTTTAAAATAAAAACCATTATACACACACAGGAAAGCACAGTGGAAAAAAGTAAATCAAATCCTACCACAAAGGGATGATCAGTATTAACTTTTTAAGGTACCATCTTTCAGTATTAATGCCATGCATTTGTGATTATACATATACACTTTAACAAATTGAGGACCAACACTATGATCTTTGGCACCTTTGCTTATGTACGGAATCAAGAACATTCTCCCATGTCATATGTTTCTAAAAGGATTTTTCTTGACTGCATAATTACTTCCTTCTATGGGTGTATCACAGTTTATTTAACAAGCTGTCATTTATTGCTGTATGACCCTGGGCAAGTTACTTAACCACTTTCAGTCTCAGTTTCACAATGTGTTGAATACTGATAATGATTTAATACGCCTCATAGGTGAGCTAGGTTGTGAAAATAAGAATAAGTGTAAAAGCACTTGACATAGTGCCTGGCACATGTTGGCTGCCCCCATCCACGCTTGGTATGGTGCCCGAAACATTCTGGATCAGGTGAGAATGATTCTTGTGCCTCAATCTTACTATATCTCCATGAATGTGTTCTTAGGATAAATTCCTAGAAGTAGAAATGCAGAATCAAAGGGTATATATATTTCGAATATTTTCAATAATCTTACCATATTCCCTTCCAGGACTAGG